CTACCTGTCCCTTATGTCCCTCCTGGACAGCTACCTGTCCCTTATGTCCCTCCTGGACAGCTACCTGTCCCTTATGTCCCTCCTGGACAGCTACCTGTCCATGTCCTGCGGCAGGTCGCTCAGCTGGTTGTTGCTCAGGTCCAGCAGCTGCAGGCGGCTCATCCTCAGGGCGCAGATGGGGATGGAGGCGAACCGGTTCTCCGAGATGTCCAGGTGGACCAGCTGCTTCAGGCCGCTGAGCTGCAGGCAGAAAACACCATGAAGGAGGGATCTGACCCGGTTCTGACCCGGTCCACAGACCCGCGGCCTCACCTCAAAGGGCAGCTCGCTCAGGCTCAGGTTTCCGGCCAGTTCCAGACGCTCCAGCTGCTCACAGTCTCCGAGCTCCGGAGGAACTCTGGACAGGCGGTTGTAGCTGATGTTCAGCCTGCGGAGCGCCGAGAGCTTCCCTGGTGGAGGCGGAGACAGGAAGCAGAGACAGGAGACAGGAAACGGAGACAGGAAATGGACACAGAGTTTAGGTGGAAACAACCGACCGTCCTGCTAATGAAGAGCAAACGGACCTGGTAGAAGTTGGGTCAGATTCTGGCCCGGTTCTGCTCACCGATCTGAGGCGGCAGGTCCGCGATGAGGTTTCTGGGAATCTCGAGCACGGTGAGCTGCGTGAACTGAGCCAGGAAGTCGGGCAGCTGGCGGATCCGAGTCCGTCTGACGTGCCACTCCTGCAGGTAGGTGGTCCACTGCAGCTCCCGGGGAAAGTCCTGCAGGACGGTTCCCTCAAACATCACAGAGCAGGTTCCCTTTCCCTGGAATGTGGGAACTCACCAGCCAGCGATCTCCTTCCAGCCGGAAGATCAGGTCCTTCCGATCCGGATGATCCTCGTCCTGCTGGACTCTCGGATCCTCCTGCTGGACGTCTAACAGGAAGAGAAACCCTCAATGTCAGACTGCAGGTTCCTAAAGCCTCTCAGGAGGAGCAAATGGTTTCCGTTTGCTGAGTCAGGAGAAAATGGCCGCTGCCGTCGTCAGCTCCATTTCCTCCTGATCATCACGGCAGCTGAAACGCTCAGGGACGGAGAGACGCCATGATGTCCTCTGAGCTGAAGACAAGGCGAAGGTCTCCTAGTTCCTCCATGTTGGAGCCTCTTCCTCTGGGAGCAGGCCGGGTCCATCAGAACCAAAACTACTCTGTTCCAGAACCGTTGCTGCTGTCTAACCAGGGTGACTGGTGGAGAACCCCAGGGTTCTGAGCTCGGTCCATTTCCCTTTACTCTCAGGTCCAGTTGGTGAAATGGAGTAAATATCCGCCGCTATGCTGATGATACTCGGCTCTATGTGAGGTCCTGGTTATTACATGGTTATTACATGGTTATTACATGGTTATTAACTCCCTGATGACGTCAGAAAACTCACAGCTACAGACCGTGTTCTGTACTCTGATAAACTCATTTCCATGTGAACCGTTGGCCAGAACAACGGTTTGGGTTTCTTCCAAAAGATAAAATCTCCACATTAAACTCAGTACCAGTGATCTGGTTTTACCTGTTTTACCTGTGGTACCTGTGTTCCGGTCCAGGTGTCCTCCGGACGGCGCCGGCTCCGTCAGCAGGGATCTCTCCAGGTAGTGCTGCAGCTGCTGCAGCTCTTTGGCCTTCATGCTCTTGCAGTAGATCCGGTACTGCCACTGCTGATCGATCCTGCAGACAGGAAACGGTCTGAATCCATGAAGGACGGATCCCAGGTGTTAACGAGCGAACAGCAGCAGGACGTTCCTGCTGACCGGACATCTGACCTGCTGCTATAAATACATCCGTGTTCATGTTGCTAAAAGCAGCTTCTGCTCTCAGTGTTTCCTCCAGTCAGCCTCAGGGAGTAGATCCATTCAGATCCACTCAGATCCATTCAGATCCATTCAGATCCATTCAGATC